AAAAAAAAAATAACAAGATTAAAAATGTACATCAATGAAAACAAACCGTAGCTTCAAGATACCTAGACGATTCTTTCAAACATTCAGATTTCTGATTAGACAGCACTGCTCTGCTGGTGCTAGGTTGGTGAAGATCGTCATCTTCGTTATTCATATTGCTGATCAAACCATGAACAGTTATGGCACTGGATTAGCCGCAGTAGCAAAGAGGAAGTGGTCCATTGTATTAAACAACACGCTGATCACGGCGGACAATAGCTGCAGCTTTGCCAACGAGTTTTATACTATTGTCAGTATATTATCTCGTAACCGGCGGGTTTTCATGCGCGCAATCGCGATCCTTCGACACACACCGACGGCCAGGGAACGGCGTAGTAAGTACGGAATATAACGAAATTATATTATTGTAAGGAATCATAATAATAAATAAATATTGAAACGGTGATAACGCCGAGGCCGATCAGTTGTGGTTGTCAGTGGACTGGAAGTCGGGCGCGATCGGGTCAGTGTCGCCCGTTAAGAGCAAGCTAAAATCCCCCGGGGTTGCAATCACGTTGGCTACATCGTCGACAGTCCGATTTCGAGTAGGAGACCCGCGCTAAAAACGAACGAGAATTGAATTTTCCGGTTCAAATCACGCGCCCGTCTACGGCAAGTTCACTATTCCTCGGTACCCGGCAGCTGACAGTTTCTTCAGTTCGTGTCGCGCGACCGGTGTAACACACGTTCCGTCCGTACCGTTTCTGAACCGTATTATGATATTTTTTCAGTGCACTGACAATTGGTTTATTAGTTTTTTGTGCCTGTGCGGTTGTCTGCTGCACTTGACGGTGTATTAGATTTACTATTCATCACTCGTCTTCTCAACTGGGCGATTTTGCAAACACCGAAACGAATAAGACCGATACTTTTAATTACTTTTTGCAACCAAGCATCGGGTGAGTATTTCACGTAATCATTGTCTCTTACGTATATCATGGAAGTATCCAGTGGCGTATATTAAATTTTCTTATGAGGGACATGGACAAAATTAGGTAGGGGATGGGGGAGAGGGGCTTAGCTTTCAAATATTTATTTATCCTCCACATAATAGGTATAGAATACCGGGGATAAATATTTAATTTTCATATAATTTTATAAACATTAAGATATTTGTCACAGTCTTCATTTTCGTCGATAATAACAATAAATAACCGTTTTCCGATGACAATATAATAATGAGATTATCTATATGTAAAGAGATATACGTGATTCATAATATGCAGGGCTCGGTGCGACCGTACTGCTCTACCCATAGGGCCGGAACTGGAACCGTTGGGAAGTCGTGAATTAATCGGTGGGCTCTCGTTCGTACTTTTTCATTGGTTCAACCGCGATGTAAAAATATTGTACTTTGTAAATTAAAGAGTTGGGTTAAGAATAATAAAATTAACCCTGTACGAGATAACTGCGGCTTTGGATACATGCCAGTGGCGTATCCAGGATTCATTTAATGGGGGTATTTTAAAATTTAATCAACTCATGGTGATTGGGAGGCTCTGCCCCTCCCCCCCCGTATTACATTAATAAATACCATGTAAATGATTAAATTAAGACAGTATATGTAAAATCTACAAGTTGTATACAACGTTTATTCAAATTATACTGTAAGTAAGTTTGCAATTTGGTGAAACCTATCCATAACCTAACCTAACCTAACCATAAAATATGGTCGATGGGGGGTGTTCTAACACCCACATCACCCCCCCCCCCCCCCTAAATACGCCCCTGTTACATGCTATTATATTAGTTAATACATTTTATGAATGGAATTCACCGTGCGAATTTATACATTTTTTGGACAAATTTTCGTTTAGGGGCCTTGCATTCAGTTCTTGATGACAAAACAATCCTATACAATGTATACTAATATAGTTTACCTATTACCTAAAAGGGCGAATTCAATTAAAAATTTCCCGGTTAGCCGTTATTCGTGTGGGCCATTTTATTTAATTTTTAAAATTTCATCTTTTTGTATAAAATTGCATTTGTTTATTAAAAAAATAATGTTATTGTGAGTCCGTTTGATTTATATTTTTTGGAAAAAAATAACAACTCGTCCCTGACTATATTATGTCGTACTCAAATATTAACAATATATTATATTTTAACCGAAGTTTAAAAGTTAACACTTTAAATAGTTTCTTGATTTACATAGAACTATATAAATTGTATTTATATTACCTGTTTTGTTTTACCTGCTTTTAGATTTTTATTAAAATATAAAATACCTGATTCACCGAGATTAAAGTCAGTTATAGAAAGAAAGAAGCATCTCCCAAACAGCAAAAAATTGAAATCACAAATTAATATATCGTGCCTTTATTGGATATCATGTCACTAAATTTCGGATCGGGTAAGCGAGTTTGCACAATTTGTATCACCACGTACTGTGGTCTCCTCCGGAAATGACCTTAAATTCGACAAGTGTACTTTGTCTTAGGGAACTGCAAAATTTAATTTTAAATATATTAACCACGTTTTTCATATAAAATGTAATTTAAATCGGTGAAAACGTGTACCTATATTCTGATTATGTTCTAGTTTTGCAAGCTAAAAAATAATCATATTTGATTATATCAAATAGGTACTACGCAAATAAAAAAAATGAAGCGTATTGTGACATGGAAAAATTATCTACTTACTAAAATCGTCGATAAAACATGGTTTGTTGGATTTTTGCTCTATTATTGAATTTAAGATAATAATATTGGTTCTTAGTAATGTATACTAAAAATAATTCATTGTGCATTGAACTAAATTATTTTAACTCTTAAATGTTGGAGTATCTAGTATTATTTTATAGAAGCTTATTTTGTTAATACATTCAAATATGTACTTATAATATAATTGTATATTTGTTTTAAATTTTAAAATATTCTTCAGTTTATCATTTTAAATATATAATTCAAATATTTGTTGAAAAATAATCTTTGAATGATGTAAATGTCTCTTCCATAAATTTTATTTGTTGATATTTTTGGACTTATTTAATCACCAAAATTACAGAAAACAAGTATTATCCAAGATTAGAATAATAATAAACAAAATGTACTTGATTTTATATTTAATCACATAAATTACTTTTTTGAATGCCTTGACTGAATTTAGTGTTTAAAATTGTTGTACGTACTTAAAGTTTTCATTGTAATTAGCTTATTTTTCCAATCTGAACAACTAGCCTTAACCTAAAAAACACAAAGACGAAAACCTTATTATAAAAATATTTTTATTAATACTTTTTACAAAGTATTATCTTATTTAAATTAATTTCTGAAAACTTTTTTCTGATTTAAAAATATTGATTATTTTATTAGGTAACTACTAAAAATAAAAATTATTAAAAGATCAGGTCCCTAGGTCACTACCGTTCAATATAACTATAATTAAATTATAAATAGATTATAAATTCTCCATATTAATATCAAAATTATAACTAACACAATTCTTGTTCATAGGTGAATACTAAGTATTATTTTTATATATGTTCCTTTATACATGATAATTCGTTATACTTCATATACTTTTCAAAAGAAAATCCTTAGAAAAATGTTTTATATAATAGCACATAAGTAGTTAGTATTAATAACTATTAGGTATATTATATTTTTGTACATCTATATTTGCGAAATTTAAATAATCTAAGTATTTAAAATTCAAATTTTAGCTCATTTAATCCATTGACTGATATAAACGAATCGCGATTGCTTAAAGATTTGGTAATTCAAAACCCTCAATCATTTGAATTAATTTTAGGTTAATTAAAATAAATTTTGATGTATTAATATAATTTATAACTCAAATACTTTTTGATCTCAAATTAATCAACGGTTCAAATAATTATTACTCGTCTGTATTACATTAAAATAAAATATATTTGTCAACTCATAAAATTACTGCTATCTTCATGGTTACATATTATAAATTATATTGTTTATCTGAAAATAATTAAAAAGATATAGTTATTTCAATAAATAATTCGTACTTATATAAAAAAAACGTATCTAGTTATTTAGTTGTTATTTTATGTTTTTGGAAGGTAAATTTGTAAATTTGACATGCCCTGTAAACTATGTACCTATATGTAATGTCCATACATTGAACCAGGATATAAACATCAGCCGGTCTGACCCACAGACCGTGAATGGTCAGCGTTTCCACTCGGTTGGGTTCATCTGCCTCCTAGTACTGTATAGACTGAAAAACGTTAATGATTTTCCACTTAAAGCACCCACGTATACGTTTAAGAAAACTAAACCGGGTTACTGTTACATTGGAAAAATTAATGCGAATCTAGACACCTGCATATGTACAATAAACTTTTATTGTTTATCCATGGCACAGTCAGATGATGTGTAATTAATGTACTGCGGTATATTATCAAAACAGCTATTTCTAACGTTCGGTATAATAATATTGTTGTATTTTTTGTCTTTAATCATAAGATGTAATTAAAAATAGATTCCGTTAGATCAATTCGTCACATCTGTAAAATCTGGCAGGTGACAACGTACATGATATCTCATTTTCAAACAATGACATAGCATATTATATAATTTAAAAAATAAAAAATAATTGTTCAGTTTTAGTAATTGATTAATTTTTATTACTGTTCGACTTAAAAATTTATTTTAACAAATTAAGAGTACATTTCGTTTTGTTTAAGTAAATTTAAATTAAAAAATAATTGTAATTCATAAGTAAAATTATTTTAAGTGTTGTATTAGTAATGAACCGTATAATATAAACTATTAGATACGAGTATAAATACATAAGATTAATAAAATAATATAATGATAATAACATTTCTTAAATGTACTAGAGCATGATAAATAAATAAATTTATTTAATTCTTAATATTAAAAGTATTATAGGAGAAACTCATTTAATATATATTTATTTTTTATTTATTTTTTAATAATAAATGCGTAAAAATTCATATATCATCTGAATTTGACCTCATAAATACTAAAATATTTTTCAATTTGATTACTATACAATCATGAGTTTATTATTATATATTATAGATCTTATAAATATTATGCATGTAAAAAATAGTATAGTAAGAAATATTCTAACAAGTAAAATAAAAAGTTAAAAGACAAAGTAATAAAAACCTATGTGCTTTTTTTCTAACAGTTTTTAATATTATAATATAACCTTCAAGTTTATGGTATGTAGGTGAAGAAAAAATAGAAAATAATTTTGATTTAGATTGAAAACTATAATATTAATACCGTTATGAAATATTTGTTGCTAAAAATTAAATAAAGAACTGATGATATTTAATTCATTTTTACATTGGATCTGCTGATTTGTTTAATTTAATTAGTTGAATTTAATACATTTGAAATATAATTTTTAAAAGTATAGGAAATAACTTTTGTATATATATATTTTTTTAATTCATTTTAAGAAATTGTTTTATAAATAATAGGAAATTAAATATTATTAACAAATAGGTAAAATAAGTTTCGTACAATTAAATTCAATATCTAATGTAAGTACCGATTTTTATAATACGAGTTGAATAATTTTATTTCTACCTAGTAAGTATAATCGATTTATCCGGATGAATTGAACGATTTTCAGATTCATGAATTCACAATTTCTTCTTTTAACCATAGCGTAATAGATGTTATTGTTACTTTTACTAAAGAAAAAAATATCTGTTCATAATTACGAAGAAACGTGCTTTTGTGGCTGGTGGTGCTAATCCGTTACACACGTTTTCGTTTAACCATTCCTATAATTCTCGTTGAACAATTAATATTTTTTTCTTTTAGCAATATGCTTTGAGTTCTGTCGGTCCCGCTAAATAAGGAAACGTTATTTGGTATGTGACCAAATGATTCATAACATATATTTTTCTATTATTATTTAATTTTTTTTGTATAAATTGTTTACCCAACGATTTTGTAATATGAATATGGCTTGCAGACCACAATATTTTTTTAGCATAAAGAAATTATTTTCCTTTGGTCCTACACCTACGTATTTATAATACATTAGTGTGGTTTTTACTTTCACGATAATCGATAATTTATACATCTCATTATGTCAACTGAGGAATACAAGTGGATTGATTAAATTGTATTTTTGTGTAGAAAATAAAGATTCATCTATTGATATAATTATTGATGTGTGTATCGTTTACGCGTTCGCTCTGCTTTCCAAAACCTAACCGTCTGTAAACTGTATGTAAAAGAAGTAGAAGATGAGACTCTATGGCGGTATTGTGATATTTTGGGCGATATTTATGTTACAAACCGTATCCTTTTCCGGACGAATGTCTGCTATATTTACACTTAACTTTATTAGTTTAAATATTTATGACAGTCTACTTAAAATCTATAAACCTTCAAACCATTTGTTACAATATTTTAAAAATTGGTTTTAATGAGGCGTGGATCCAGAAATTAAAAATGGAGGGGGAACTGAACAAAAAAAATTACATAAAATCAGGGACAGACTGGCCAGAGAGGCGAAGGGGCAATCGCTTCCTGGGCTCTCGATAGTGTCATATTAATTACCCGTAAACAAAATGTAATATTAAAATATTATTGTAAAACGTCAATCATTTACTATTAGAAAATCCGAATTTGGATGAATTGAGCACAATTAACTAAAAAAATGTAATAATAATAGATCCCACACTACTCGAAATTATGTTATTAATAGTCCAATATGCCGCTTGCCTAAGTTATGCAATGAAGTTACCAATTTTGATTTTAATTTTGATTCTTTGTATAAATTAAAATTATGTATTTTTAATAAATTTTATCTACTACTTGATTTTCTTTACTGGCGGAGTTTACATGTTCTCAATTGTTCCTGATTTTTTTCAATGGCGGAGTTTACATGAACTCAATTTTACCTGTTTTTTTTTCTGGCGGAGTTAACAGTAAAAAAAGGTACTTGTAGTGGAGTTTATATGTGTCCATAATACGAGTGTAATATGTTTAATATTTAATTAAATTCATGGGAGTTGAAGCTCTCCAATATCCTTTTGTATCCGCGCCTGGTCGTAAACAAGTACATAAATTAATTTATTATTATTTAATATTTCATGTAGTATTATGAAGTCATCGATTTTTAACAACGATTTAGCTGCAATAATTTACATAATATAATGCGCATAATGTTTTGATTAAAGTTTATTATATTATATTTATATATTTGTTATTATTAAATTTTATATATTATTTATTATATTTTTTTAAGAATAAAAATAGGTATATCAGATATACTGTACATGGTTGAGATGACTGAGAATAGTTTTGACACATTCCCGTATCATGTTTCGTCATAAATTTGTATTTTGTGAACTTATTGTTCACCTACGACATTTTTACG